CGAGGCCCTGGGTCCGGGCTCGGGGGTCCGCGGGCGGGACTGGGCCGGGGGCCGGGCGTCGGGAGGCGGTCCTCGCGCAGGCCTGGGAGAGGCTCACCGGCCCGGCGACTGCGCGTCTGGCGTCATAACTTGCTCGCGGTGGAAGTTGATGCTTCGTTCCGCCGCCGTTAGGACGCCCCCGGGATGTCCCAGAGCAGCGGGGCAGGCCGGACAGCGGGCGACCCTGCCCAGGGCCGGGAAGCCCTTCCCGGATCTCATCTGCCCGGCTGGTGCCCGGGAACGTCCTCTTAGGGTAGCTGCGTTTTGTACCTTCTTTCTACTTTTTTGGTTTACAGTGTTTTTTCTCTTAGCAAATGATAGTGACAAACGTAGTTTGTAATTTTTTTTCTCAATTGGCTAAATAAAACCTCAGGAATTCATTATTACCTTTTAACTTGGTCTTACCATGAAATCTGAGGACAACAGTTAATCCAATCCCCTCATTTTGTAGAGGCGGAAAATTAGCCCCAAGGTCATCGCTTCAGTTGATAACATTCCTCTGTAATGGTCTCCGTCACTCAGAGGGTCTTGGGCCCAGTGGCAGTGAGATCGGGTCAAGCTCTGTGTCTTTAGAGCGCACAGAGGCATCTGCAGGTGCGGGAGCGGACGGGACGGAGATAGGGATGTTGTGCCTCTTAGAAGCAAGGCCTGAGCCATGCCTGTAAGTGCTTTGGCTCCTGGAGTGGCCTGAGTGCAGGAGGCTGAAGGTGAACCCAAACCAGGCTCTGAGCAGGTCATGGGCAGTGGATGCCTGCTGACTACATTTGCCTCCTGACTTTGTAGGCCTGAGGGGCAGCAGTCACTTCTGGGACCAGGCCTTTTCATGGCCCGCTGAGTACCCAGCACTTTGAGCTTATAAATAGATTAAGCAGTGGCCCATCCCTGGGAAAGCCAGGCTCATTGACTCAGAGGTTCAAGGTCCCTTTCTCTGCATTCCTGCCTTGTTGGTCAGAAGAGTGTAAGGCAGGGCCTCCTGGAGGCAGCGTGGAGTGGCTGAGCCTGTGTGGGGAGGGCTGTCATAGGCATTTAAAACTCATCATAAGATGGGTATGGTGGCCCACGCCTGTAATCCCAGCACTTGGGAAGCTGAGGCAGGAGGATCGTTGCAAGTTCGGGACCAACCTGGACTACAAAGTGAGCTCACAGCCCGCCTGAACTGCATAGCAAGACCCTGTCTCAAAAAAAATAAATAAATAAAACTCGTCGTGAAACTGGCATGGTGGCACATGCCTGTAATCCCAGCACTCTGGGAGGCTGAGGCAGGAAGATCATAAATTAGAGCCCAGACTAGGCAATTTAAGGACTTAGTGAGACCCTGTCTCAAAGTTTTAAAAATGGGCTGATGTTTGTAGCTCAGTGCAAAGACCTTGGGTTCCAGCCCCAGAACCACCAAAAGGAAAATTCTCACACACACACACACACACACACACACACACAACTCCTGCTGTATTTTGTGCCTAAGCAATGTCTTTTGTAGACATGGGTTAGAGGAGAGCTTTATGTTGGGCTGGTAATTCTGTGAGTCGATAAGGCCTAAACAGTGTCCTGTGGTAGGTGGCATTTGCCATTTGTGGTTTAATCCATCTGTGTGTGGTGATTTGTAATTTTCTGAGGGAAATCCATGCAAAGCTGGGGTCATAGAACCCTTAGTATATTCATTTTATGGAGAAAGCTGTGCTTATTGTGTTATGTGCAAATTTAGGGAACATGCACATCTCTGGTCATGACTCCAAGGGACCTTCGACAGGCTTCAGTGGTAGGTGCAAGTCTAGCCAGGGAGACAGTGCTTCCGGAGACCCCTGGCCTGTTTCAGTCAGCTGACCGCAGTCCTTAAACCTACAGTAGGTGGGTGTTGTGGGGAGCAAATCCAGAGGTACAGTGCCGGCATGAGAGGAGCATGCATTCAGAAGGGGTTGCTCACAAGAAGGGTCTCCAAATCCCATGCTCTTCCCTGAGTCTCCACGAGAGCAAGGAAAGGAGGAGTCCTGACCATTTTGGAGGGTCTTACAGATGAGCCAGGCATTGTGCTAAAGGAGAAGATGCGTTGAGAAATGACTCGCCGCCTGGTGTGTTTGGAGCTGAGGAGAGACCTGAGCAGGGAGGAGGCAAGGCCAGATCACCTCTTACAGCCCACCACTTACTAAAGGGCATTTCCAGTCAGCACCATCGCACGGAGCTCTGGGAGATCCAAGTGACAGCAGCGTGTTGGCGCAGAGGCCAGGGACATGGCGCTCACCCACTGCTGCCACCTGCCCTCTCCTGAGCAGCCCTCACCCCTCCTTCCTCATGTCTTGTCTTTGCTCTGGCCTGGCCTTCTCATGATTGCCCACGTCTTCCTTCCTTGCCTGGCAGTGGCTTTTCTCCTGCTCTTCCATTGTTGGGGTTTCCCTGGGTTCTGTAGTCCATCTCTGCTCACCCCAGTGCATGTTCTCTGCGTGGTTGCATGCATTCCAATGCCTTTAGCTGTTGGTTCGTGATTTGTAGGTGGGCTTTGGGCTCTGTGGGGCCCCTGTGTTCCCTGAAAGTGTGTGTAGGGCCAGGCATATAGCTCAGGGACACAGCGCCTGCCTGGCAAGAGCGAGGTCCTGAGTTCGATTCCTGGTACCAAAAAAAAAGTGTATGTAGTGTTGGGATGGTGTGTATCTTCCTGGAAGCAAAGTATTTTTAAAATTATTTTTAATATACTTTTCATCAGATTTTCAAAGACATCGTTACCTATAATATTACAATCATCCATCCCAAATTCTTGGATTTTCTTTTTGCCTTTTTTTGAGACAGGGTCTCCCTGTGCAGTACAGGCTGGCCTTGAGCTCACTTTGTAGCCCAGGCTGTTCTTTAACTCGCAACAATCCTCCTGCCTCAGCCTTCCAAGTGCTGGCGTTACAGGTGTGTGCCACCGTGCCTGGCATGAATTCTTGGATTTTCATTTCCAATTGTATAGTAGATATAGCTCCTCAAGTTTTTAATAATTCCTCCAAATTTTTAAATAAGCCTGAGTTACCTGAGCTACCTAAGCTGTATTATAGCTGTATTACAGCTGAGTTACCTAAGCTGTATTTTTTCAGATTCAGTTGGATGATTTGGCTATCACAGAAGGTATAAACAAAGTAAAACTCAAATGTAATTCAAGTTCCTGTAGATTAGCATTCTTAAAATCCTGGTATACAGCAGGCCCCAACTATCTTCAGAGGATTCAGGTTTCCCAGAGGATAACTGAAACCTTGCCTGATGTCAAGCCCTATGCATATTGTGTTTTTCTACACATACACACCTGTGATAAAGTTTAATTTACACATTAGGCACAGTAAGAGTAATAATAATAATTGCTACAAAAGTAGAACATTTAGTTGGGCATGGTGACGCATGCCTGTAATCCCAGCACTGAGGAGGCAGAGGCAAGAGGATCATTGTGAGTTCAAGACCACCTGGGCTACAAAGTGAGCTCAAGGTCAGCCTGAACTACGTAGCGAGACCCTGTCTCAAAAAGACCAAATAAATAAGTAAAAATAAAGTAGAACATTTATAACAACATACTGTAATAAAAGTTTGTGATTTGGAGCCTTTGTTAAGTAAGGGTTACTTGAACACAAAACTGTGATGTGGACCCTGCATATGACAGACAGACTGGTAGTGTATGAGTCATGGATTCTCTAGAAAAAGGAATGGTTTCTATCCTGGGGGGACAGCACAGAATTTCATCATGCTACTCAGAAAATGCACAAAATTTTAAACTTAGCAGTTACTTATTTCTGGAATTTTTCATTTAATATTTCTAGGCTGCAACAGGCCACCAGTAACTGAAGTTATGGAAAGCAAAGCCATGCAAGGATAACGGAAAACTACTGTATTTTTAGATAGTCTCTTAGTCTTAGAGACAGCCTTATAGAAACTAGTAGAGTCCTTCCCTGCTGCCCATCTGACAGATCCTTCCTTTGTATTTACATATTATGTTTGTTTTTTGCTGTTTTTACATAAGTGCTGTCCTGCTGTTCTGCAGCTTGCCTTATAAGACCAACAGTGTGCCTAGAAATTCTTTCCGTGTCAGAATAAGAAATAAATCCACCTAATTTGGACAGTTATGGAATATTCTGTGGCGCGGGTGTATACTCCATTGAGAATGTTTATGACTTTGCCTAAGATAGTGCTGCGCATCTCTGTCTCTTGGGCATCTGGCGGAGATGCGAAGAATTGGGCTTTGCAGTCAGGGAGCATCGTTGTTTCCAGGTTGATACTACTAAATCATCTTCATAAGTGGTTGTACCATCTTCCCTTTCACCTCCAGACTTCTTAGCTGTGTTTTTTGTTGGTGTTGGTGGTGGTGGGTATTTGATTATTTGTTTGTTTTGTTTTGTTTTGTTTTGTGTGTGTGTGTGTGCGGGGGCAAGGTCTGAGAATGTACTGTAATCCTGGCTGGCCTTGAACTTTCAATCCTCTTGCCTCAGCCTCCTGAGTGCTAGGGTTAGGGGTTTGCCCCACCATGCCTGGCTTTGTCACTAGATTTTAAATGTTCCCTGTAGCTCCCTACACATGATGACATCAGCCCAAGAAGTAGGAAGCTAATGGCATCTTCATTCACCCAGTTCGTAGAAACCTCTTCCCTGACCCCTTGTGATCCCTCAGAAATATTCAGTCTCTCAATTTGTTTGATTTGATTGGTAACATCGAGTTCTAACCACCCACATTGCACAAGTAACATTTGATCTGCATAAGTGAACTCATCGTACTCCTCAGCTTTTCATTGCAGAAAATATGGTCACTGTTACACTGAAATCATCCCACACATGGAATGCGGCCTGTCCCCCGGAAGGAAGAGCTCAGGCTGGGGAAGGAGCCATGCCAAGCTCAGGGGAGGAGCCACAGGCTGCAGTGGGTGAGGGACCTGAGTGGTTGGCACTGAGAGTGTGTGATGATCAGGGTGAGGAGAAGCTAGCACTGGCCCCAGACCCAACCTGGAGCTTCCTCCGTGGGCCTGGAGCCTGTGCCTCAGGAGGGGCACACCTGTTCTGGGGTCCCCTCTTCCCCTTTCTCTCCTTTCTCCTCTCCTTTCCTCTCTTTCACGCGTTCCTGCCCTCATTCTGCCTCTCTCACTGGCTCTCTCTCCTCTGCTGCCCCCTGTGTTCACCCCTGCTGTCTCTTCCTCTTACAGTCTGCTTAGGGCCTGTCCTTGTTGCTTGTCTTTGGTAACCTCAACTGGATACTTCCGGCCTGCTCCTGCCCGCTCCTCTCAGGAGCATCACCACCCCTGGGAAATCTCAGGGCTTTACCTACATTGGCAACTAAAAGCATTCCCATTAACACCCACTGGCCATTTAAAAGGGCTTAAGTCTTTTTTTTCTTTGTTTTTTTTTTCCGGTACTGGGAATGGAACTCACAACCTTGCACTTGCCAGGCAGGCGCTGTGCCGCTGAGCTAAATCCCCATCCCAGGGCATAAGTCTTTAATTTTAATCCTGTATCTTCCCTGTGTAGAGGGTTCTGTCCCAGTACCAGCATCTTGCAGGGAAGCTTAGCTTTCCCAGTGCAGTGTGGTTTGGACCCAGTGGTCCAGGCTGGGGGAGAGAGGAAACGGCTCATACACCACACTCAGAGGAGGCACTAGAGAGCTCAAGCAAGATGGATCTTGCTCTTGGGAGAAGTGGGGCAGGAACTCTGTCTGGCTTCAGACTCCCTGTGGTGAAGTTCTCCGGCCAACACAAAAGGAGGAGCCTCAGGCTTCCTTGCCACCTCACTGAGAAGTAGGATGGGAGGGGAACAGGACTGGGAAGCTGTCACATCTAACCTCAAAAATGGAGTTGTCCGTTATCATCCAAAACAACTCATAATCATTGATTACACGTGGGAGCAGTTGCACCTGTGATCACAGTGCTGCGCAGCTGGCTGCACCTGCTTGCCCTTTGTGCAGTCTTGTCTTGCTCCACCCAGGGACGGCCTGGGCCTGCGCCTGCGCTCAGGCTCTGCTCCTCTTGGTGTGGGCCTCAGTGGACCCTGGCCAGGGACTGTCCATTCGCACCCGGGTCTGCAGTAAAGCAAAGGCCTGACTTACTTCAGGGGTCATTTTTTTTTCGGCTTCAAGTGTACTTTATTTCACACAAGACAAAACACAAAATAATGTGCTACAAGCAATACTTTGGTTGTAAAATTGTCAGTTTGCACAATTAAATGAAATTAAAGCTAATTATAACATAATAAAGAGAACATAGACACTGAGATCAGAAGTTATCCATCTCTGATAGTCAGGAGCTGGACAAATGGGTGAATCCCCTTCCTAGCCATGATTTCCTTCTCTGTAAGTAGAGACGAACATTTCCTAACTTACAGATAGCATCAGATTTGAATGAGGCTATGTGTTTACTGCAGAGCCCCACATATGTTACCTCCTCAGTAGTTACTAGTCACTACCGCAACCATCCATTTTCTTCTTTTTTAAAATTTTTACTTTTCAATTTTAATTACTGAACTATTTATTCATTTATTTTAGACAGGGTCTCAGTAGGTACAGTAGTTCAGGCTGGCCTTGAGCTCACCTGTTAGCCCAGGCTAGCCATGGTGATCCTTCTGCCCCAGCTTCCCAGGGGCTGGGATTACAGGTGTGCACCGCCAGTCCCACACCTTTTTGTTTTTAACACTCTGTTCATCTGGAAAATTTTCTCTGAATTTCTTTTTTTCCCCTCACAATTTTGTTCTGGCAGACCTCCTGTGACAAGAATAAAACAAGAATCTGGGAAAGCAGAGGCATGACTTTCAACCCACTTTCACACCGAATGATAGTGTGTGGGAGCGTCCATTAGCAGTGGCAGGGATTTGCATTTTACAATGTGCATACACTTATCAAACTAAAAAAAATAGTCGACTTATCATTTCAGAGCTTTATCTTCATTGCTAATTTAAATTCCTTTACAAGAGACAGGTACTGTTTTTGCTCTAAGTTTACTTCTCTCTTCCTCACCTAGGTAACTTCTAGAACTGCACTAGAACTGAGATCCTGGCTTCTGGTCTAGCCTGGCCTTACTGACAGTAAAGCCTTAGTGGGATTGGCACCTGCTTCCCACCTGTCTTAGTTACTTTTCTCTTATTGCTGAGACAAAATACCCAACACCCAGAGGTACACGGGCAAAGGTTTATTTAGCTCACAGTTTGTAGGCAGTTCAGTCCTTGATCGGCTGGCTCCAGGGCAGTGTGTCATGGCAGCGGGGCAATAGTTGATGGCAGCAGAAAACAGCAAAAGCAACGAGAGAGAGAGACAAGGCTCTTTCTGTCCCTTATATTGTGTCCGGTCTACCAGGATTAAGGCAGTGCCAGTGCAATCAGTGGGCTGATCCAGCAGCTACCCGCCCTTAATCCCAGCACTGCACCATGAATCAATCACACGCTCTAGATTCAGCCACCTCCTAAGAAACCCTATGACCCCATGAGGCTTTGTGGGGACATCTAGACATAAGCCATAACACTGCCCATCCCTCTGTCCCTTTGGGGCTCACACCTTCCTCACTTCATGTGGTGCTGGAGGACCTGCTGGGCACAACGCTTTCCTCTTCCTTCCGCTAGAGAAATGGGTACACCACTCAGGAGACCAGTTGGATCTTCTCCAAGGTTTGCTTTTTAAATAGTGGGCTCCTAAACATGGAAGTGATGTAAGTTCGAACTACTATGACTGTACGTAGCCAGGCAGTGACTTGTTTCTGAGGTATTGAACACCCAGTCCTGCTGAATACCTCCAGGTATTAGTACAAAGCTCCCTAGGAATTCTGTTGGGCAACTGGAAAAAAAAGAAAGGGGAAAAAAAACAAGGAAAGTTCACCCTCAGCCGTCCTCCACAGAGAGGCAGAAGTATAGTGGCCATCGCAGGCCTCACAGAGGTAGAGACAGAACTACCTTAGGCCAGTCACAAAGCTGTGGGTCCTGGGTGGCTTCCAGCTGGGTCCTGGGTCCTGACACTGGTCAGGGCTGGCCTTTCTGCAGTCAGCCTGAAATGCGCCAGCTGAGGACCCTGGCTCTGAGGGTCAGGGCATCTGCTCTGGGGTGATGGCTGTGCCGGAAGGCACCCTGGGGACCTAGGGGACGGTGACTGTTTCATTTGTTTCGTTGTTTTTAAGCAATTTATTGACAACATTTCTCCCAGACAGGTTAGGTTACTCTTACAAATGATAGACCTCATTTGCGACCTTGTGGATTCCTAGTTTCACTTCTAAAAGCGACTTTATATTTTGGGTACATTTTAACATAGGTCTTGAATACTGGCAAGAGAAAATCTACCCATAAAAAAACACCTCCAAGCAGTGGTTGTGGCCAAGTGGTTAAGGGATGGGCTAGAAAAATTACCTCCAGGTGCCTGTAATCACAGCCCTCTGGGAGGCTGAAGCAGGAGGACTGCATGTCTGACACCAGGCAGGGCAATTTAGTGAGACCCTGTCCTGGCTGTGTGTGCCGAGGTGAGCAGATCCCTCCCTGGGCCTGCTTTCTGTGCTGCAGGCTGGTTTTGGGTTTTGTGTCGGACTGCTCCAGCTAACCTGAAGAACAGACTGAATGCTTATAGCACAGAATTTATTTCCTCACACTTTTGAGGGCTGTGGATCTCAGGGAAGGTCCTGCAGCTTTGGATTCTGGTGGGGACCTTTTCTCTGTACAGCTGCAGGGCGAGAGCTGCACTCTTCTTACAGAACACCAAGCTCATCCTTACAGCCTCAGCCTCACTTACCCAAAGGCTCCGTCTCTAAATAAAATCAGGGTGGAAGCTTCAACAGAAGAATTTTGGGGGAACAGTTCAGTTTTAGAGGGTATCTATCATGCATGTAGTAAAATTGTAAAGTAAAAGCATAAGCTTTGCCAGCAAAGTGATGCCCACCCTAGACCCGCTCTTGAGACAGTAAGGCAGGAGGACGGCAAGTTTGAGGCCAGCCTGGACTATGTATTGATATCTTAACTCAAAAACAAAACAGTATAACAAGCTTGGCTTTGCCTCCAGCTACAACCCCAGCATTTTGAGAAGCAACGCTGAACCTTCAAACCATGGTGTGTGCCCTCCCAGTAGGCTGTGATGGCACACATTTCGGTGCGGAATAAAACAGAATTTGCAGGTGTCTTCACTTGTGTAAATTAGCACACACTCAAGGCTGCTGTCTGCTCTCTTGCAGGAGATAGCAAGGGGGAAAGTGCACTGCTGCCCAGGGCACTGCGGGAGGCACGTGCTGGGACCCAGTGTCGAGCTTGAGAGCACACCTCTGTGAAAATGTGCTCCAGCCTCTCCCTGCCTAGGATTCTCTGCCAGCGTCCTTGGGCCTCTGGGCCAGACCCACAGCTTCCCCTCTGGGGAACTATTTTTAACTCATCCAGCCATTTTCTTTTTTTTAAGGTTACCTTTTTTTTTTTTTTTTTTTCCTAATTACAAAAGCAGTGCGAATGTAATATGTTCTTTGCAAGAAATTGATAAGGCAATGAAAAACTCCTGTTTTCATCAGCATATCAGGGTGAGAGGATGTCGGAAGTTTGGTCAGTGCCTTGTGCTTAGTACTAAGACAGTGAGGACACCACGAACCCTCTAGCTTCTGGAGCCATCCTCGGAGGGGGCAGCAACCTCTGGGGAGGGGAGGAGCTCCCAAGGGACAGGCTGGAACTGCAGGCACAGGTTATGAACTTGCTCAGGGAGTGTGGGTTGGATTAAGGCAGAGCTTGCTGAGAAATAGAACGGAGTCTCAGGGGCCTGTGCCCATACTCTGCCATGGACTCTGCTTTAGAGTAAGTTCTTGGGAGAATATTGTTTGTAGGGCACCAGGTTATCAAGTTTTAGGACACCACTTAACCTCACCTGTCCTGACCCTGACTAGGTATCACTGTAATAGCTTCATTTGTTTTTTTAACAGATGCTTCTATTAAG